TTTAAGCACGGCTGGTTGGATTAATGCACTCATGCACAGCTTTCCTTCAGGTCCCTAGAAATACATTATAGATCTCTATGTTAGTGAGTCCTTGAGTTCTATACATATTCAGAGGCACATGGGATAAGAAGAGTAAGCAACATTCAGCAGCAACCATCCCATTTGTGTATGCAGTGGTAGCTGGTGCCCAGTGGAATGGGTAAGATGGAATACGGGGAGACCAAGAGAAGAGAATGTCAGAGCCAATGACAGGCAGAGATACACCCTGATTGGTTGCAAGTAAGGCTAGGTTGATGGCACAGCGCTCCATTGGCCTGAATGAACCAGCCTCCACTATTGTCAGGTTCTGACAGGGCTCTGAGAAGTGTGTGGCAGAGGCCCTAAGGCTGAATCAGGTGAAGGGGGTATAAATTTAAGGGGTTCTGCACCTCCTGTGATGCAGGAGCCAAGGCTGGAGGAAAGGGAAGAGTCTGAGCAGTCGGAGACTGGGGAGGAGGTGCAGGACATGGCAGGAGTGAAGGTAGAGTTGGGGGCTGTGAGGGGCAGGCCGGTAGAATTCCCTCCATCCCCTTCTCCATTGTCTCCCAGAACCAGGAGAGGCCTGAAGAAGCAGGCAGAGGGGCAACTTCCATTTAGGAGAAGTCACATGTACCTTGTGTGTGAGGCTAGTTAATCGGACCCTCCAAGTGTCCCTATTTTTCAGGGACAGTCTCAGATTTACAGAAGCAGTCCTGGTTTCTGACTTGATCCCAGAATGTCCGTTTTTCCTGAGAAAGTCCCTATTTTCATCACAGAAATGTTGGAGGGTATAGTACATGGGTAGGCAAACTAAGGCCTGGGGGCTGGATCCGGCCCAATCGCCTTCTAAATCCGGCCCGCAGACGGTCCAGGAATCGGCGTGTTTTTTCATGAGTAGAATGTGTCCTTTTATTTAAAATGCATCTCTGGGTTATTTGTGGGGCACAGCAATTCATTCATTTTTGTTTCCAAAATATAGTCTGGCCCCCCACAAGGTCTGAGGGACAGTGGACTGGCCCCCTGCTGAAAAAGTTTGCTGACCCCTGGTATAGTAGGACATCCCTATTTTCATTGAAAGAATGTTGGAGTCATCCAACTCCTGAGCCATCTGAAGGCAGGCCTGTGTAGGGATGTTTTTTTTTAATGTTTAATGTTTTGTTATGTTTTTATACATGTTGGAAGTCACCCAGAAGGGCTTGGGCAACCTAGTCAGATGGGTGGGGTGTAAACAGTAATGATGATGATGATGATGATGATGATGATGATGATGATGGAATAGGACATCCCTATTTCCATTGGAGAAATGTTGGAGGACATGGTTAAGTACCTGTGGAGGCATGGTCACACTGTTGCTCCAAGAGTCCATCTCGCAGTGCAAGCCTAGGGAGGGCATGTCAGCTATTGAGCCACCAGAACTGTGTGTCTTGGTGTTTAGGAGCTACTGTAAGTGACATGCTTTGTCAGTAAAGAATTAACTACCAGCCACTGTCCTCCTTGGGCTGGGTATGCTCACGACAACTATGTCTATGCAGGAAGAAGTCCACCAGGAAGCTGAAGATATCTACCATGCTTCTCCTATGTAGACAAACCGGGATCAGCCTAAAGTGACCCACATGCGCACAAAATGTTAGTAGGAGTTCTGGGCTTGTGTCATAGTAACATTAAGGCCATGCTAAGGCAAACACAATGAAACTGTAATTAAAAGGGCCCATAAGTAAAAAGGTAAGGGATAGCAGAAGTTCAAAGACCACCTTTTATTAAAACGGGACTATACAAAACCCCGGAAGATTAAAGTTGCACAAGGCAATTAACGAGTCTAACGGTGGTAAGAAGAGCATGGAAGTTCACCTATATACACAGGAGAGTGTCTCTAACATGAGAAATGTTTTCGCCACGTAAACTGAAAAGGAGTGATTTGAGAACTGAACTGTGCAATGCCATATGCCTGGAGCAAACAAAAAGCAAATGTTGTCGAAAGGTGGCCAAGATTTTTGAGCATGGGGAAAATGTGCTCCTACTTATGGATTTTCTCCCCAGGGACTCCTCCAAAATGAGGGGGAAATATGCCCCTGATGCAGCAATGCTGAGCTGGGAAGGATGGCCTTGACTCTGAATTGGCTTTGATTGCCCTCTTTGATGTTATTAGGTAGCTAAATCACACTGGCAACATGAAGTCAGGAGTCATGACATCATCTCATTTGCTAGATGATCCCCAGCTGCAGAAGCCCTTGAGGGAATTAGACGAGTCATGGTTCCCTGTGCTCCTGTGTACTGTTACCCAACAGAGAGGTGAGAGAAAAGCAAAAACTAACAACTACCTTACTCTCTCCACTTACCTCTGCTGCTGGTTTAAAGTAAATAAAAGGAAATGGAAGTGTATGGTATGGTGTATTGATTGGGATGGCTTTCGGTGAGTGGTGGAAATTCATCTCTAGATCTGATGTTAATCCAAGCTAGGTAATCATTTTTGGGCTTGTAAAGCTCACCTCTTTCTCAAAATGGGCTTTCAAAAGTCTGTGGCTTGTTTCATTGCAGGCGAAATTGCAGTGAGGAAAGGAAGCCATTCCCCCCCTGACCAGTTGCAGCTACCAGGACCCTACACATTTGAATTGAAATTTATTCTGGGGAAACTTTAATGGCGAAGAAGAGAAAGGTGAGCCTTCCCTCCTTCAGAAATGTTGTCACTGACTAAGTTTCACTTTCAGTGAACTTTGGTAGCAACTCTAACCTTCATGTAAGTATAAATGAAAGATGGATTCCTCACTGCAACACCCATAGCTTCAGAGGGTTAAAGGTTGGCTACAGTTGTGGAGAGCTCCCGAAATTCACAAATAACACATTGTACATTTAGAGTCTCAGCTACTGTAAATGATGTAAGGGTAGCTACATCTTGGGTTTCATGTATTTCCCATTGCAATCGGTCAAAGCTTTATTATGTAATTGGCGGAGATATGCAATTGTTTTATGAGTATATCTGTTGTCATAATTCATTCTCGGGTATCATTCGTTGGAGGACGCAAATTTCAGTGCTGGGTATATTTGCTGGTTTCTTGGGACTTATTTTGTCTCACTGTGATTTATTTCATTATGACAAACATAGATCCACCCACCCACTCTAGTCATCTGCTGAGATGTGTCTGTTTTGTGGTGCAACATTTAGTATAAATGGCAGGATATCTGCAGATGTCTAACAATTGAAATTGAAATACTTTATTGTCACTTGTACAACTTGTATGCAGTGAGATTACACGAGCACCCCCCACTCAGCTCTCTTAGTCTTAATTCCCCTTGTTTACTGATGCACACCCACCAAACCCGAAAGTCAGTTGCCCTGTTGTTATCTTTTCATTCAGCAGCCTAACAGCCACGGATAGAAGCCGTTCTTTACCCTGTTGGTGCGACTAATCATGTTTCTATATCTTCTGCCCAAGGGCAAGAGATCAAGAAAATGCTGGCCAGGGTGTGGATCATCCCTGAGAATTTTCCTCGCTCTCCTGAGGCAACGTTCTTCTGTGATGTCATCCAGTGGATTCACGGGACAGCCCATAATACCTTGTGCTGTATTCACCACCCTCTGTAGGCACTTCCTATCCGTTGATGTCAAACCAGCGTACCACACCGTGATGCAGTATGATTGCATGTGAGAGTGATGGGGAATGTTTGAGAGGCGAAGGGTAGTTGAGTGGGTGGAGTCAACATAAAAAACCCCCTAAGATTCAGTAAGGTCTCAGGAATACATCCACAGTTAAACTGTGACACAAGATCTCTGTTGGAGTAGACCAAAGACGAATGTAATCCTGAAACCCATTTCAACAGTAGCCAAACAGATGCCTAAGGGAAGCCCACAAGCGGGGGGCAGGGGGCAATGCCTGAGTGTACAATAATGCTTTTAAATTCCTCTTGAATATTAATTCATGGGGGAGACTGACACACCTCCCTAACGGGACATTGCAGAAACCAAAAACCCAATAAGAAGGGTCTATCAACGGATCAGCACCAAACAGGAAACACCAATCTACTGCAAGGATGCTGGGAACAATTTGGGTTTTGGAGCAAGATTGTACCACCATGTCAACCTGCAATTAGATTTTACAAATTTATGTAATCTTCACTGCTTGGATATTCAGGTATTCATGTTTGCACCATTGAGGGTTGAACTTATGGCAGGGAAACGAAAGACTAGCAGCTGGAATGTTGTCATTTATATCAAGTACTGCACAACTGGACAGCTTCCACACTCACAAACACACACAATCTTAGTCCCCAGTACATCACTTTACTTATTTAGAACATTTATAGCCTGCCTTTATTTGTAAAAGTCATCCTAGGCAGTTTACATGATAACAGATTAAAAAATTGCAGTTTTCAGCTATAATACAATTAAAGGCAACACCTCTCACAAAATTCAAAGCATACCATAATTTATGCATAGCCAGACCTAAAGATAAAACAAAGGAAGGACAGGAGGATTTGGGGGACAACAGACTATTAAATATTGGCTAAAAGGGGGATTTTTCAGGAATTCGCTGTATATAGCTTGACAAATGATGCCCTGCTGCAAATTTATCATTTTAAACCTGTAACCCAAGGCTGCAATCCAGGGAAGTGGAAGGCTGAAAATTAATTAATCAGCTAAGTTGAGAGCAGTGGTTGTTTTTAGATGCCCTGTGAAGAAAGCAAAGGACAATAAAAGGACTTACATAAATTACACATCACCCAAATCTGCGAAGGTCTTCGTGTTAAAACCAAATGTGGTTTAACAAGATAAATAACAAGTGCTTAGTGATACCAGACAAATAATAATTACCTGCAATCAGATGGATAATAAATTAGGGCCAGATGGTAGTTGGAATCTGCAAATATTTCACTCTTCCATCTGCCTTCATCTATTGATATCATTTTAGATTGAATTCTAATAATGGTCCATTTTTCCTCCCTTTCAGATTTCATTAGAGGTGTCTTCCTGTGTCAGCTTGCTTCATTCTGCCTCATGATGTATTTTCTCAAAGGCTATTATTAACATGTGTTGTACCCAAGGATTCTTGCAATGCGCTTTGCTACAGCACATGTTAATAATAGCCTTTGAGAAAATACACCATGAGGCAGCAGTAGATTCTGCTGCAGAAAAATTATAGAATGCTTTGGACCATTTTTGTTGCTTCTGCTATCAAATATGTATTTCCACATTCACCCCAGTTGTGCAGTGGCGTGTTTGTGAAAGTAAAACACAGCTTTTTCAATTCCTGGCAAATGTATTGCACAAACATAATCAATGTTTTGACAAATAAATATTGTCTGCATTCAAAATGAGCGTAAAGGGAGTTAAGAGAAATTGCTCTCAAAATGTTAGTGGATGGTGTGCTTTACATATTGCGTCTTTTGGAAGGCTTTTTTAAAACTGGATTATCTTTATTTTTACACAGCAGGAATCTCTTTAAACAGGGATCAGCAAACTTTTTCAGCAGGGGGCTGGTCCACTGTCCCTCAGACCTTGTGGAGGGCCATACTATATTTTTTTTGGGGGGGGGAATGAATGAATTCCTATGCCCCACAAATAACCCAGAGATGCATTTTAAATAAAAGCGCACATTCTACTCATGTAAAAACACGCTGATTCCTGGACTGTCTGTGGGCCGGATTGAGAAGGCGAATGGGCCATATCCGGCCCCTGGGCCTTAGTTTGCCTAACCATGGTCTAAACCATACTCTGTTTAAATTCATTTTTGGTCACACTCAGAGTAGACCAGGGGTGCCAACTTGAACAAAATATCGGGGGCCTGGGCTAAGCCCTGCCTTGCATAATCGATCACAAGAGCTGTTCGACAGTGGAATTTGCTGCCAAGGAGTGTGGTGGAGTCTCCTTCTTTGGAGGTCTTTAAGCAGAGGCTTGACAACCATATGTCAGGAGTGCTCTGATGGTGTTTCCTGCTTGGCAGGGGGTTGGACTCGATGGCCCTTGTGGTCTCTTCCAACTCTATGATTCTATGAACATCTGGAGGACCATAGGCTCCCCATTCACTGATTAAGAGTGTCACTGCTATTTAGAATAGGCAATAAGCAGACCAATGGTTAGAGAGTCAATAAAAAGCAGCTTCCCAACTCTTCAATACCAGTTGCTGGCAATTGCAGTGGGCAGAGTGCAGTTGCATTTATGTCTAGCCTGCAGGCTCCCCATGCACATCTGTTTGGCCACCTTATGAGGAACGGCTAAGGGAGCTGGGCATGTTTAGCCTGGAGAAGAGGAGGTTAAGGGGTGATATGATAGCCATGTTCAAATATATAAAAGGATGCCACATAGAGGAGGGAGAAAGGTTGTTGGGTAACAGACTCTCCAACGGACAGATCTCACTCCTCTGTGACTGTAAAAGCGGATCTATAGAATCGTTATATCATATAATCTTCTGTTGTCCATTACATTCGGCTTCACGGTCCAAGTTTCTGGCCCCATATTTATCGAGAATTGCTGACAGTCCTCAGGAAGCCCAAATAATATACTTATTAAACGACGAAGATACAAGTAGATCCCTTGCAATCGCTAGATACCTGATTAATGTTTTATTTCAAAAGAGGAGAAATGGATCACTGTATGTTTCTGACAGCTTAGCTAAACTTAAGAACCATCAATAAGTGCCAGAACTAAGACGTATACCCCCAAAATCTGATGGATCGGAATTGCGGTTTACATAGAGGGAGCTTATTGTGTATAGTGTTTACTTAACTAAAGTAAAATTGGTTTTATAAGGGTGTTTTAACTTGGAACTGTTTAAATTGTATTGTTTATGGATAAATTCTGATGTATTGTTTTTGATATGGGCCAATGGCCGTAATAAATCTAAATCTGAAATCTGAAATTCTTTGGAGGTCTTTAAGCAGAGGCTTGACAACCATATGTCAGGAGTGCTCTGATGGTGTTTCCTGCTTGGCAGGGGGTTGGACTCGATGGCCCTTGTGGTCTCTTCCAACTCTATGATTCTATGATTCTATGACACGGTGCACACACCCCATTTGAATGGCAATGTCCATCAACTATGGGGAGGCAGCCCCCTCAAATATTTTATTGGGGGAGGGGGGAATGAAGAGCCTTCGGCCCCTAGGAGTTGGCTCCTATGGAGTAGACTCACTGAAATCAACTGATGTAGTAACTTGTCTAATGATTTTAAAGAGTCTGAGTATGATTTAGTTAGACACTGCCCTTAAACCTTAAATATATTTCAAAGCATAAATTGAAATTAACAATTTCTTCTTTTTTCAGCAACATGGCTAGAACAATGCAGAAGGGGATGTCAAATTTCCGCCCCCCTGGCCAGATTACTCTTGGGTCCCAGCTGCCCGGCCACAATGCTGCCCACTGGGAAAGTTGAGCAGACTTACATACAACATACTGTGCTGCCATTTTGATAGTGCCTAACATAACTCACTTCACCAAATTGTATCAAAACCTTTTTCATCTTCTTCTCAAAAACTAAGGCCATGCATCCCCAAACTCGGCCCTCCAGATGTTTTGGGACTACAATTCCCATCATCCCTGACCACTGGTCCTGTTAGCTAGGGATGATGGGAGTTGTAGTCCCAAAACATCTGGAGGGTCGAGTTTGGGGGTGCCTGACCAAGGCCATGTTGGGCTACACACTTATCTTGAAATGCGGAGCTGATATTTCTTTAAAACTTTGATAAATTATAGCTTTTCAGACATTATTTGCTACTGAAATAAAGGTACATGGGAGAGAACCAGGATGATGGAAGATTCCTTCCCTGACCTTCATTATAATGCATCATGTTCTAATGTTCACTATCATATGCATATTTCATTGGCTACCAGGACTGGGAACCTGCCCTCTAATCTGTTCTGAAGAGAGAAGAGATGCAAAGAGATTATCTCTATGAGCAAGCACATTGCTGCATGACACAGGTGACATCTTCTTTTTCTTTTTTCATTTGATAGAAGAAGAAGAAGAGTTTGGATTTGATATCCTGCTTTATCACTACCCTAAGGAGTCTCAAAGCGGCTAACATTCTCCTTTCCCTTCCTCCCCCACAACAAACACTCTGTGAGGTGAGTGGGGCTGAGGGACTTCAGAGAAGTGTGACTAGCCCAAGGTTACCCAGCAGCTGTATGTGGAGGAGCGGAGACGTGAACCCGGTTCACCAGATTACGAGTCCACCACTCTTTTTTTTTTAATAAATATTTTATTAGATTTTCCATAAAAAAAACATTTTTACAAAATTATACATCCATTTTTAACTTAAACCCTTTTCCCCAGAACTTCCCTCAGCTTGTCTGATAATTTTCCGTTTATTTTTTATCCTCGTCTCACATTTCCCAATATTATATTGCACTCAAATACTCTTGATCACATCATATTTTTTAAACAATATTTCTAACAGTAATTTCACAGAGCTTCTTGAAAGCCAACGAACGTTATTTGCTCATCACAGAAATTTTTGATATACTCTGTAAATTTCTTCCAGTCCTCAGAGAATCTCTGGTCACGTTGGTTCCTAATTCTCCCCGTCAATCTGTCCATTTCTGCGTATTCCATCAGTTTCATCCTCCATTCTTCTTTCGTGGGCATCTCTTCCTGTTTCCATTTCTGTGCCAGCAAAATTCTGGCTGCTGTTACTGCATACAAAAGTAATTTCACATCTTTTTTACTAATTTCATTATCCAGTATTCCCAACAAGAAAGCTTCTGGTTTTTTAACAAAAGTATATTTGAGCATTTTCTTTAACTCATTATAGATCATCTCCCAGAAGCTTCTTACCTTCTTACATTCCCACCACATATGGTAAAATGTTCCTTCTGTCTCCTTACACTTCCAACATTTATTACACACTTTATACATTTTACCCAGCTTTACTGGTGTTATATACCGTATTTTTCGCTCTATTGGACGCACCTAGTTTTTAGAGGGGGAAATCAAGGGAAAAAATATTATTCCCCCCCAGCCCCAAAGAGCAAGGGCTCCTAGAGCTCGGGCTGCGGGGAACCTGGTTCCCAGCCCCAAAGAGCAAAGAAGCCAAGACAGTGAGCGGGATCCATAGCCGCGCAACCTCTCCAGCCAGGAGCTAAACCTCTCCAGTGCAGCTAAAGAAGAAGACAAGGCAGTGAGCGCGATCCATCCTGCTCACTGCCTTGGCTTCCTCTTTAGCCTTGAGCAGCATATTTAGCCTTGCACAACGGGATGGATCGTGCCCGCTGTCCACCGGGGCTGGACTAGATGACTCCTGGGGTTCCCCTCCAACCCTGCAATTCTATGACCTCGGAAGGTGTTGGGGGTCTCCACTACTGGAGGCTTTTAAGCAGCAGTTGGGGGACCATCTGCCTGGCATTCTTTAGCTGTGATTCCTACATTGTGAGGGGGCTGGGCTAGATGACCCTCGGGTGGCCCTCCCAACTCTATACAGTCCTATACTTCTGTGGCAGGAGATCCACAGCCACTTCACACAATGCCCACTCCCAATTTTCATTGGAGAGACATGTGGCTTCAGTGTCTTTTTATATATATATAAGATATTTATTAAGATTTTCAAAATATTACAACATAGAAAAAGAAAAAAGAAAAATATAAAAGAAAAATACAAAATAAAAGTAGTTAAAAACAATCCAGTCTTTCAATCACTTATCTTTCATTTGCTTATTTCCCGGACCTCCTCACGCCTCCCTTTTATGTATTCCAATTCAGTTTGTTAGTTCAGCAAATCCCTCCTAATCTTCAATCTTAAAATATTATAACCTTAGATTTTTGCCTGATAATAATCCATTTTTTCATATTCCCTTATAACATTACAGCTAAAAACCACTTAATTTCTATCCAACATCATTCTAACATTGGCTTCAGTGGCTTCAGTGTCTAGGTAGGTACCCCCCTACCTGCCACTCTCCCACCACCCCACTTAAGCCGAGGGAAATCCTGCCCAGAGAAGCTCCCAGGTGAGGCAAGGGTTAAGATCTACCTCTGGTAAATGGCTTTCCCTTTTCTCTTCTTCTTCTGTGCTATTTCCTTCTTTTGTGTTTTGTTTAATCTGTTTTTATTGTATACTAAAATAAAAGCTGCAAAGTTTCCTTTTTTATAATACCCCCCCTCCAAACTAAAACGTTAATCTAGA